CGTCGTAGCAGATGCCTTAAGCAGGAAGCGTCGTCATCGGATTTCAGCTTTAAGGTGTTCATTATATCGGGATCTTCTCACCCTCAGCCAATTTGATTTTAGACCCAAGATTTGTGGAACCAGTGTATTTTTGGAAGCTGTGTCAGTGCAACCATCTTGGAGTGACAGAGTTGTCAGAGCTCAGTAGGGAGACTTTTGGATTCAAATTCGAAAGGAGGTGATTTCCAAAGAACCAAAGGCTGATTGGACCATTGGAGCAGATGGAGGTCTCCGGGTGAAGGGTAGAATGGTGATGCCATCCAGTGCCGAGCTGAAGAGAGAACTATTTGATGAGGTACACCATACTAGGTACACAGTACATCCAAGTACCACTAAGATGTACAAGGACCTGAAGAGGCACTTTTGGTGGAGTAGTATGCGAAGGGAGATTGCGGAGTATGTGGCTAAGTGTTTTACCTATTAGTAGGTGAAGGCAGAGCATTAGAGACCGGCAAGAACACTTCAGCCTTTACCCATTCCAGAGTGGAAGTGAGCGGACATTTCTATGGACTTCATTGTAGGATTGTCGAAGTTGAAGAAGGGGAATGATTTAGTTTGGGTGATTGTGGACCGGTTGACGAAGTCGGCACACTTCATTCCAGTGAGGACCACTTATACCGCAGTTTGGGTGATTGTGGACCGGTTGACGAAGTCGGCACACTTCATTCCAGTGAGGACCACTTATACCGCTGAGGCATATGCGAGGATATTTATCTGGGAGATAGTTTGACTTCATGGAGTTCCCGACACGATTATATTGGATCGAGGTTCAGTGTTCACTTTGTATTTTTGGAGGAGTTTTCAGGATTCTTTTGACAGCAGACTATCATTCAGCAGTGTTTTCTACCCATAGACGGATGGTCAGACAGAGAGAGTAAATCAGATATTGGAAGACATGTTGTGAGCTTGTGTCATCGATTTTTAGTGCAGCTAGGAAGATCATATTCCACTGATAGAGTTCACTTATAACAATAGTTATCAAGCGACGATCGGTATGGCCCCGTATGAGGCATTATACGGGAGACCTTGTAGGTCACTGATATGTTGGGTAGAGCCGGAGGATAGCTTGATGCTTGGGCCAAAGCTGGTGAGGCAGACTACTGAGAAGATAGCTTTGATCAGAGAGAAGATTCTAGCAGCTCAGAGTCGACAAAAGAGCTATGTCGATAAGAGACGAAGACCCTTGGAGTTTTAGGTTGGAGACTCAGTTATGCTGAAGGTATTCCTTATGAAAGACGTGCAGTGATTCGGACGACGGGGGAAGATTGCGTCGAGATATATTGGACCATTTTAGATTTTGGAGCGTATTTGATTTGTGTCATACAGACTAGATCCTCCAGCATCGATGTCTAGTATACACAATGTATTTCATGTTTCTATGCTTAAGAAGCACTTACATGATGATAAGCAACAAAGAGTGCTGGATGCACCAGAGATAGAGCTTCAGGAGGATTTGACTACTATCGAGATTCCGGTTTGCATTCTTGCCATGGAGGATAAGAAACTTAGAAATAATGTAATTCCTTTGGTGAAAGTTCAGTGGAACCAAGGAGGTATTGAGGAGATTTCTTAGGAGCGTGAGGAGGACATGCGTCGTGACTACCCACATCTGTTTAAACAGGTAAATTAATTTTTATTATGATATGTATCTTATTTTATGTTTATATCTTTGGTTATATTTACATTTAACACTAGAATGAGGATGTCTTTGCTTAAATCTTAATCTTTTGGAACACATGGTATATATATAGGGGGGTTCCTTGTTTGGATTTTTCGCCCGTTATACTAGTTCCACTAGATTAGGGTTTGAGCGGGAATATTACTATTTTAGATTGTTAAGTATAAATATCCATGTATGCTTATCTAGAAGTTCATTTTTTCAAGATGGGTATAATTTCTGAATTTCGAGGACAAAATTCTTTTAAGGGGGAGGAATGTAGAACCCCAAAATTTTTATAATGAATATATGTGAATTATTAGTGATAAATAATTATTTTATGATAAATAATCATATATATCATAGATGAATGTGATAATCAGTGTTTGAGAACCCAACAAGTGATTCTATGTGAGAGGAATCAAGTGGATAGGCCAGCATGTTGTTAAACAATCCAAACAGGCAGTTTTTCTATTGCGTAGTCGACCGCGAAGGGTGCGGAGGTCGACCGCATAGCAATCGGGCACTTAGGATTGTTGTTTCCTGTTGTGCGGTCAACCGCGCTGGGCACGGCGGTCGACCGCGCAACAAACTGAGATTTTTTCTGGGTTTGGTCTTAATGGGTTTCAGGTCGGGTTTGTGGGGTTAGTATATATTCTTCTATACCCGAAAGAGCCCTCTTTTCATCTGAAATCAGAAACCCTAGCCCCCTCTCTTCCCTAAAACCATAGTTTTCATTTCTTGGTGATTTGGGAGGAGCTTCGAAGGGTTTTTCAGCGGGTTTTGGTGGGATTCAGTGAAAGGGATCATCCTTCTACAGATCTAGGGTTTTATTCTCATTAGAGGCGAGTAACATCTCGCTCAACTTTACCCCTTTTGTTTTCATGCTTTTATTTGAGTTTTAATCTGGTTTTATTGGGCCTAAATCGTATTTTATGTATAGATAATAGATCATTATGGCATATGATGTGAGAATCAAGTATTTCAGATTTTAAAAGCTCACCAACGAAATTTTAGTTAATGAGATCTAGATCTGAAAACATTTTAGCAAAAGTTAATCCTGTTACTATTTAAAAATAATTAAAATCATGTTTATATAAGTTGGGATTATTGGTGACGAGTTTTAAATGTTTAAATTCGTTGTTTTCTGCCCTATGACATTATTGAAATGTTAGATTTTGATTTATATGAGAAATAATCAAAATTTTAAGGTTTTGAAGCTGACAGAAAACCCAGATCTGGGCTTCTGCCTGCTTCGCGGTCGACTGCGGTGGATGCAACGGTTGACCGCTAGGCGTACAGAAGGGCAGAGTCTGTCTGCCCTCTTCATGGTCGACCGCGGTGGGCACGGCGGTCGATCGCGGGTCGTTTTTGCTAAGCAGACAATTTCTGCTCTTTGCGTGGTCGACCAGAGTGGTCTCTACGGTCGATCGCCGCATAGTTTTGAATGTTGTTGGTTTTGTTATATATTTTTTGAGTGTTCGAGAGTTTGCCTCGATTGTCTAACTCTGATTTTCAGTCTTACTATGTATCTATGCATGATAAATAGCCTGAGGATACGAGTTTAGAATCATACACCGAGTCGAGTGTGAAATTTGTGTAAGTAGATCTTTCTATATATCTCAGCAATGTTTGCACAGTTACACAGTCCTCGTGTTGGACTATAATCCATAGAAGTCCTCATATTGGACTATAATCCATTTCAGTCCTCGTGTTGGACATTGTTCTCATTTGTCCGTGTGTTGTGGAATCACTATATCTAGTTCATGTATTCGACACCTTTCTTATCCTTGTAGGTGACATTTCACATGAGTTATGACATGACACTTATGTAGGCTATGACATGACACTAAATTTATGTTCTGAGATGGTTGTATTTCTTTTTCATCATTTGTTCCTGTACTAGAACTCGGGTTTAGTGTTTAGGGATTTACAATTTGAGATACAAGGTATATATATGAGGGTTTCCTTGTTTGGATTATTTCGCTCGACGTACCTATGCTCGTGTTGTAAATTTCTAAATACTAAAATCTTTTTTAATTAAGAACAATGATTTTAGAATTATTATGTATTAACTATATTTTCTTACAACGAGCCATTTCCCTTGGGGTTGGTTGTGATGTTGCTCGCTAGCGCTTTGACGCTCGTTGTCCCTCCCCCATTCAGGTAACGAGCCAGGAGCCCGGAGAGTCACAGGTTGATGGCGATACACTTTAGTGTTCAGCTGTCTATTTTTAGTTATGTTTTATTTTAAAGCTCCACTGTAGACTGTGTTAGACATTTGAGGGCCATATTCTAGATGTTATAAAGGATGTGTGCCTTATTTCTTTTACTCAGACATTTTGTATTTGAAACTTGTTGAGAACTCCAGTTTATCTACTTCAGCCATTGACTATGTATTTCTGTATGTTGGATGATGAGATATCTGTGTGGTTGTTATCATTTCACCAATTATCACTTGTATTATCTTTTACTTGGTTTTGTACCTACACCTGTTGTTGAGTCTACTAGAGAAATATTAATTGTGATGGTGAAACATGTTATTGTACGGTGTGGTGCATGGCAGGTTTGATATTCTTAGTTTCACCTTAGACTGCAACCTTGTGTGAACCCAGGGGCGTCACACCGTCGTTGAAGCCCTCTTCGCTAAAGGGTCACGAAGGGATGTACTACCTGTCTTTATAGCGTCCATAATGACAGAACATATTACCATCGTTAATATTTACGACGGTAATTATCACTGTCGTTACCATCAGTGATTGGGATATTTTCCCGTAGTTATCATTAGTGACGGAAAATTTTTCCATCATTACCATTAGTTACGGGAATATTTCCCATCATTACCATTAGTTACGGGGATATTTTCCCATCATTAAAGACTAATTAATGATGGCTGGATACCGTCGTAAAAGTCCTCATAATGGTTAATTAGTAACCCATCAACGACGATATTTTTCCTTCATTGATGAACAAAATACGGTTTATAAAACCATCATTGTAGACTACAAATTTCTAATATACATTAATAATAATTTTTTCATTCATAGGCAGCTATCATATTATTCTCAATCTGACATTAAGATTCACAACAAAAATATATTAAAAATACCCAATAATGAATAAGAGGGAAAATATAAATTACATTCATTAATAACATCGATAAATAAAATTTCACCATCCTCAAATATTCAATACTAATAACAAGAGTTAATATCCTAATTATTCCAAAGAAAAATACATGAAACTATCTAAAACAAATTAAAATAAAGTTTGGGGAAGACACATTTCTTTCATCTCTAATCATCGTCAAATTAAAGAAGACTCGAGCTACCCCCCTCCTAATCTTGCATGGATAGCCTGAAATTTTTTAAAAAATCACATAATTAAGAAATATTAATGAAGCAAATATTATCTTATTAAGTAAAAATCACATTTTTTAGTGCAAGTAGTCAATCATAAAAGTATATAAGAGATTTTACAAAAAAATAATTACCTAATCCTGCACACGTTCTTGAGTTTGAGGAGCCAATGAAGGTGATTGCCTAAAAAAAAGTTCTTGCATAGCTTTCACTTGTGACTCCAACTCAGACATCCTTTGTTGTTGTTGCTCCTGCTCATCTAAGCGTTGTTGAAGCATCTGGTTCTTTCTCTTTTCTTCTATAACCCGTGCTTCCAGATCAGATCGACTAGGGAGCGGTCCTCTCAAATCTTTTAAAGTAGTCCCGCCACCAAATACAGTGATGTGACCATGAGATTGCTTCCCCCAGATTTTCTCAACTATCTCAATGTCAGAAAGTGAAGGGTTTGCTTGTTTGACTTGAACAATTTCATCCTATAAAAATTAAATTCATATGTTAGTACTATATAATGCATCATTATCAAACTTAAACACATATTCTACTTACATATTTATCTTGATCCCCATTTTCTAGTGTTTCATTAGCTTTCTTTCGAGTTTCATGAAACATTTTTGCCACATCAGGTGGATTTCCTGACTTGCCACCCTTATTCAAATATTAAATAAAAATGAGTACAACATCAAACTAAAAAACAAAGTAGTTATAAATAAATAAGAAATTAGTTTTGAATGTATACCAATTCCCACGCAATTTGTCTAAAGGATTTGCTGCCCGTGTGGTGGAGCATCTTTCGTTTGCCTCTGTTAAGTGTATTTTGTTGGCTTGCTTTCTATACATCAACATTAAAAGATAATTTTAACAATCCAACAATATACATGGAACAAAATTAATAAAATTAGGAGATTAATACCTGAAATCTTGAAGAAAAATAATGTTCCTTAACTAGCCAATCCCAGTCATCAACACTCACTTC